GATTTATATTTGCATGGAAATCACCGAAAAATTCAACTTTCTGATAAAGAGCTGACAGAACAGAGATTTCTGCATCAACATCATCTGGTCATTATTCTATAAATTCATCTCTTTCTTAATTTAACCTTTAAAAATTAAAGGTAGAATGATCCCCACAGCTTACAAAAATTGTCAAGTTATTAACATTTAACTCTTAAATATGGATTTTTATCTTTTATCACCGTTTCAATTTTCTGCTGCATTATGGTTGCAACAAAGTCGTGGGAGAATGTAGAAATAGCAGCAGATAAATGCAGGTTCTGAAATGAAAATTTTTAATTAACACATCATAAACTGCTTTGGAAACAGCTCCAGACAAGGCTGGAAAAAAAAACCAGGAGCACAACCAACAGGTAACAGAGATTAATTAACAAAAGGAGCAGTTAATACTTGAATTACTGCTTTTTTTTTTTTTTTTTTTTTTCCACGAAGAGAGGAGTTTTCTCTAAATAAATTCGAGTTTTTCAGAAAAAGGGAATCCAATCCCCTTTGGAATGTTTGCATTGAAACGCAGCAATAGAAAAAGAAGAGAAAAAAGACCTGAAAATGAAAAGCATTTCAAATATCACAAGGATCCGGTGGGCTCTAAATTAGGATTCTGTTCCAAAATCATCTGATCATCTACCCCAAATCACGCCTAATTAGACAGCAATTAACCTGAACTTCATCAGGATTTTATATATTTGAATAAAAGCTCATTTTCTCCTTGCTCTCAGATTCAATGATCCACTCACCCCCACTGCACCGTTTTTTTGGGGGTTTTTTTTGGGGCTGTCACAGATTTGCTGGTTGAACTTTTCCAGAAATGACTTGTGTTTCACACTTCTGGCTGCTGCTTCTGACAAATAAATACAAAAATAAAACTCACAGGGCAAAACATAATTATTCTGAGGAGCACCTGCATCAAATCAGGGTGCAGAGATTTGTATTTTAGGTGCAGACCACAGAGAGTTGGGCAAATTTATGCTTCATCTCAGTATTGTGCCAAGATCCCTCTTCAGCATCTGCAATAAAATACCTCCAGATCAAAGATCTCCACGCAAAATCCTCAAAAGAAGAGGAGAAAAAGACCCCCCCTAAAAAAAGATGAACTCGCTGGTGGCCTCAATAATTAGATTAAAAATCAATTACACTCCTGCCAACGTGTTTGTTTGGTGGAGAAAAGCCTCGAAGGAAATGCATTTAAACTTGGTTGGGGATGCTGAAGCAGCCACTGCCCTCCATAAAGTTCCTTTATATATTTTTCCACAATATGCACAAAACCAGAATATGAAATCAGAAACATTTTACACATTCTCATACTTCAGAGAGCACTAACAGCATTTTACTCGTCGAAAGCACTTTATCTTCATGTCTCTATAAGGCAGAGTTGGTGCATAATAATGTAATTTATATTGCCTAAATGTTATTTTGGGAGCATTGCATCATTTCTCAAACTTCATGACCTTTACAATTTTCTAAACTTTTATTTCCCTCATTATTCTGAACAGATTTCATTACATATTTTGAATGTAAACAACCCTGAATAATGATGGGCCCCATTACGTATGTACAGCTCTGACAATCGCTGCATGGAAACCCAGTGCATTAATTTACCTCTCATCCGCCGTAACTGCACTCCCATAAAAAGTTTTATACTCAACTCACATAAATCACGGGCAAGAAAAATGAGAAAATCTGGTGGCTAACTCATCTTCCACCATTCTGCGAAAATGAAATTCACTGAAATACCTATCAAAACTGCAATCATCAAGAGATAATGTCTTCTTAGGTCTATCTGCACTTTCCGATTTAATTTCCTCCATGCCCTTGACATCCACAGATACCATTAAGATTAAGAGCAGCGAGTAACTGAGCAGTTCTCCGATTTTGATATATGGGGCCCAGGCACTAAATGTAATATCATCATTTGAAAATTAATGCAATATTTCTTTTGTTAGGGGTTTGGTTTTTTTTTTTTTTTTTTTTTTTTTTTTCCCAAAACCCCCACAACACCTCGGGAAGAGGGATGAATACCGGGGTGGGGGGAGGTTCTCTCTGGTAATTTCCCCATCAGAATGCCGTGCAATTATGAGGAGATGTGCACCTGGGCAGAGGTCACCCAAATTACTGCATCATTTAATGAGCACCGAGATCAAACCGCCGGCACACTGTTGCTGCCGAGAGACGCCTCGCAGCCTGCTACATCAAATCTGATGGAATCATTAGAGTAATAAGCAGGAAAATCTGTTTGCAGATTAACCTCTGGTTTCATGCTGCTTTCATCTAATGGGGCGCTGTGGAAATCTTGTCAGCTTTTCATCAGGCACGATCAAATTACGGGAATTGCGAACAAACCGCCGGCGCGATTGGAAACAACAGCCGCACGTGCCGGGCCTTTCACGCAGATGCCAGGGAAAATCACACTCTGGATATTTTACAGCCTTGTTTACTTCAGCTGATCTCTGCTCTCACCGTCCTGCAGAGAGGGAATGGGGGCCGTTCCCAAATTTTTACGGAGGAGAAGGCGAATCCGGCGAGTTCCTGGGGTAAAATACGAGCGGGGCCGCAAAGGGAAAGCAAAAATAAAGGCACAAAGGTCAAGGGGATGAAAGGTCAGGGGAGGCACCTCTGCCTCGGTGGTAAATGAGAGTGATCAAAGTTTACTTTTTAATAAAGACACACAGACATTAAAGAGTTGTTTTATGAGGAGAGGCTCTGGTTTCAGAGCCCCGCTGGTAATGGGAAGTGACAGGGAAAAACTCGCTTCTCTGACAAAGTTTCCACAAAATTTGTCGCTGCTGGAACAACAAACTGCTGCAAGCCTTTGAATATTCTGCCATGAAAACGTTCTGCCTCTGATGGTTTGATGGCAGGGTTGTTTGATTCACATCTGCAACCAACAGCAGCAGAACCTTAGAACAAAGAAAAGTGGAGTGCACATGAATTGAATACACACTCGGTGCCCCACAATGCAAACAGAGCCAAACAAGATGAATTTTCCCATGGATATTCATAAGCCATCGATCTTCTGCAGTGATTACCTGATCTGAACCTGATCCAGAAGGATTTCCAAGGAAAGATTTTTCAAGAGGAATATTTGGGATGCCGAAGTCGAGTTGGGGACACCGGGGTTCCCCTCTCAGTGGGGGACACAGCCAGAGCCAGCACTCCTCCTCAAAAAGCACCTTGGTGCCTCCAGCTGGGCACTCTGTGCCTCTCCAAAGGGAAATTTGGAATGGCCCTGGACACAAATGTCCCTTTGGCCATGGCTGGGAAACCTCTCCACCCCCACCCTCGCTCGGAACAGGACAAGAGAGCCACAATTCAGGAGGGACACCAGAGACAAGGCAAGCCTGCAGAGCATAATTGACCAGCGTGGAATTGTGCCAGGACAGCAAGATAAACATAATTACTCATATTAAGGGCGTTAATTAATTGTTTGTGAGCACAAATAATTGGCTGCTTGGTTTACAGCTCGTTAGGAAGCCAAGGACTCCGTCAGACATCGCTGTCCAGTGGCCACGGAGCTGTGACACCACAGGAAATAAATATTGACATTTAATTAAAATAAATACCTGATCAAATATTAACACTGAAGAAAGGAGAAGGCTTCTTGATTGGGATTTGGGGGGTTTTTTTTGGGTTGATCAAAGGAACCTTAAAGCCCATCCAGTGCCACCCCTGCCATGGCAGGGACACCTCCCACTGTCCCAACCCCAATGTCCAACCTTGGGCACTGCCAGGGATCCAGGGGCAGCCACAGCTGCTCTGGGCACCCTGTGCCAGCCAGGAATTCTTTCCCTGTTCCATCTAAACCTATTCCTGTCAGTTTGAAGCCATTCCCTGTGTCCTGTCAGTCCAGACTCTCATAAATCCCAAATGGTAAAACACCTTTTACAGAAGGGATTCAATAACAGGTTATCAAATTAAGATAAAGACTCTTAAAGTGGGAAAAAACCTCCTTACAAGCATTTGGAGACGCAGGAATTAAAGCAGTAGAGCTGGAATCATGTGGCTTAAATCTTTGGAGGAATATCCCTATAATTTATTGGAGTCCAAAAGGTCTTTCTGAACAAAGCATTGAGACATGGAAGGTGCCAGTACAGATATTCCTACCCGTGGGTGCCTTGGGAAACAGTTTGTTTCCTTGAGCCCCATTCCCAAGGCAGATTTTGTAAGATCAAAGGGAAAAGGGGAAAAAAAAAAAGTCTCAGACCTGGAGGTTTTGGACAGATCTTTCAGGGAAATGTTCCTTGTCCACAGCAGGGGATGGAATGAGATCTTTGAGATCCCTTCCTGCCCAGTTCTGGGATTCTAAATACAGAGCAGCCAATTCATTGAATGAAGACATGATTTTATTCCAAATTATTGAGAGTTAACCCATAAAACACTTCAGGCACCATCACAGGGGGATTTTCCAGAACCTTTTGCCCCAATCCCAGAGAAACCCTGAACACCACTCAACTCTTTTCCTGCTTCCCACCTCCCCAGGCTACTCCAAGCCCACAGAGCCTCTTCCTTCCCACTTTTTGTTGTTGTAAATCAGCCCTGCAGCTCCTGCTGTGGCAGAAACTCCAGTTTAGAACCAGCCCCAGCCATGGCCAATCTGTCAGGAGGGGAGCAGTTTATAATGAACGAGAAAAATCCTGGGAAAAATCTCCCTGGCACCAGCAGGGCAATGAAACCTTCCCCAAATTTACTGAAGGGATTCCCCCCACAGGTGAGACACCCCTGGAAGCAGCAAACAGGATGGGTTTTCCAGCTGCTCCGAGAACTCTGCTCTTTATTCTGTCTGATGATTCCCAACACATTTCACATTTCAGAAAGGGGGAGCTCCTGAGAATTGTGCCAGGATCTCCATCCCACCAGGATCTCCATCCCACCAGGATCTCCATCCTTTGCACCCCACCAGGATAATCCATCCTTTCTATCCCACCAGGATCTCCACCCCAGCAGGATCTCCATCCTTTCCACCTCACCAGGATAATCCGTTCTTTCCATCCCATCAGGATAATCCATCCCACCACGATCTCCATCCTCTCCATCTCACCAGGATAATCCATCCTGTCCATCCCATCAGCATCTCCATACCACCACGATGTCCATCCTGTCCATCCCACCAGGATCTCCATCCTACCAGGATAATCCATCCATCCTATCCCACCAGGATAATCCATTCTTTCCATCCCATCAGGATAATCCATCCCACCACAATCTCCATCCTCTCATCTCACCAGGATAATCTATCCTGTCAATCCCATCAGCATCTCCATCCCAACCAGGATAATCCATCCTTTCCACCCCAATAGGATCTCCATCCTCTCCATCTCACCAGGATAATCCATTCTTTCCATCCCACCAGAAGTTCCATCCTTTCCTTTTCAGCAGGATCTCTCCATCCCACCACAATCTCCATCCCAACCAAGATAATCCATCCTTTCCACCCCAGCAGGGTCTCCATCCCTTCATCCCACCAGGATCTCCACCCTTTCCATCCCACCAGGATAATCCATTCTTTCCATCCCACTGTGATCTCCACCCTTTCCATGCCTCTGGCACTCCAAGGAGATTTTGGGCTCTTGGTGCCCAAGCTCCTCCAATTCCTTCCCCAGTGATTCCCAAAACGGGAAGCAACAAGAGGGAAGCAGCTGTGCCCAATGGCACACGATGGTTTTAACAGCACTGGGGAACAGCAGGGACTGTTCAGATATTCCATGAAAAAAACCAAACCCTTCTCAGGATGGATGTGCCATTAACAGCGGATATTTTAATTTAATGGGATTTAATAATCACCTTAGATCAACTATTTAACGTTCCACTGACTGCTGGTACCAACCTGTGAGGCTCAACCTCAAGCTTCTGACTTGTGACAAGATTTTATTTTCCCCAGTTTTGATCAACTGATGAGTTTTTAACGCTAAGCCTGGCTTGCCATCACTTGTGGGTTTAATATGTTTACTTAAACCAGAAATATTTTGCACCTCAATTATTATTTCCTACTGCAGAGCCCTGAATGGAATTTAAGTCGATCCATTATTCATAAAGCAAAGACAAGAGAAAACACAAAGCTGTGCACTTCTTTCAAAGCCTCCAAATGACTCAAACACACCATATTTATGCATGCAATATTTGATTGTGTCCCTGGCTCTTTTTTTTTTTTTTTTTTTAATCACAAGTTTGTTGTTTTCAGATCAGGATATGCCAAAAATCCAACACCAAACAATTTTTGTTCATAATTAAGGCAATCATCAATCCAAGGATTGTAGTCCGGTTTATTTCATCTCGACATCAAAAAAAAGTAATTTAAAAAAATTAAAATTCCCTTGAAATGGGGAGATAAATGAAAATGTGAGTGCCTTCACATAATAACAGTAGCCTGACCCTCTGGGAAATGGTTGACTTTCTCAATTCAAGGTATTCAAAGCTCATTCAAAAGTGTTCATTTGGAATGCAGATATCAAAGATGATGCAAATGTTCAAGAGAAAATTAAAACTTACCAGATGTTCTAATCCAGCTTTGATGTTTGCAGAGTCCCTGTAAGAGAAGAACAAAAGTTCTAAATAGTTGCTAAACCCTTGTCTGCAACGATTTCTGTTTAACTCTGAAATGGCAAAGCTGGGTAATTTCTCCAGTGTATCACATTTTTAATTTTCATACAAATATTTACCTGTAACACCGAAAAAATATTGATTATCCCAATGCTCAAGGACAGAATTAAACCCTCAGATATTACCTGCCCTGAAATTGCTACAAACTGCAGCAATGCCACAGGATGCACATTTAAAAATCAACATTTGAAATCTAATTATTGCACTGGAAGGAATCAGCCAGGCCAGGCCAGGGGCTGTTTATCAAATCCACATTTGGTGCCTCCTGTTTCTGCTTTGCCACCAATTTCAGTGAAATTCTGTGTCCCTTCCCAAGGAAAAAAAAAAAAAA